TCTGTACAATAAGCATGGAATACCAAACTGAAGACAATAAGATGGAGCTTAGAATTACCATAACATGATAGCATTTAGTATATTCTGACAGAAACACCACAAAAACACCACATATTCATGAAATACCTGAAACATCTTTAATTTTCTTTAATTGTAATGAGCAAGTCATAATGAACATGTTTTTCACAAAGATTTCTAAAATTTCTTTGCTTTCAATATTACTGTGTTGTAAAACCAGACATTGCACATTATAGCACCATGTTCCATGTTTTACAATGATGCAGAACACCGTTCAGTCAGGATACAGTAAATTGGTACAGTGGATATATTTGTCCTGCATAAGCAGGTGTAGGAAAATAAGAAGCATTGCACTTCTAGCTCAGACTTTCATGACATAAAGTATTTAAAATACCTCCAGCAGACATGGAATAAATAGCAAATACAAAAAATATTACAGACTCACAAACTCGGTCATTTCACAGGTTTAGGTCTGTGGCTGCAGATCTGTGCAAATGCAAATGCCCAATTATTTTTCTTTGACTTAATTCTGTGGCACTGAACTTGTTGTACACTCAGAACCAGAGACAGGCGTGCATACTGTCAACCCCCAGGGACATCTGAGCCCAAGGCTACATGTGGCAGAAACATGACAAGACTGACAACTGGGAGTGAGCGGAGTCCTTCACTATTAAGACAGAAAAATCACACAAGTTCAACACTGCTGGCAAAGCTAGAGCATTCCTCTCAATTAACCATCAGATTCACCAAAGCCATCTGACAGATAAATCGAACACGCTGGCTGGATCCACATTATTTACAGTATCTCTACCTGAAACTGCAGACAAATGTGCCTATCCTACCCCTTTACTTACAAGACAATTTGCTTATTAAACAGTTCACTGTCATCTACATATGCACAATCCACAAAAAAATATGAATAATCAGAGAAATGCTATAATTCTATTATCACTTCTTCTTTAGGCTTAACAATGTAATAAAATGTGTTTTTTTTATGAACGCCTATTAAGGTAAGGATGCAATGTGATCAACTTCCTTCATCTGATCAAATTTATAGAAATCAAAACTTTGCTTTGTTCTTTTTTGCATTTAGTTTTTGTTTTGTTAGAAATTTGTTTCATTATTAGTGTTATTACCAGTTATGATTTGCATTTAATTACCTGTTTATATTCTGTAACTGTAAATATAGAATTTTATTTCTTTATATGTAATGGGATTGATTACTGCATTACATACAGCAATTTATAATACTAAGTAACTAGTAAAGGAAATCACTCTAACAAGTTTCTTTTGATGTTTTCTCTTATTTTGCACATATTTCCAGAAGCAAGATTCATTTGCCAGGATGAATAAAGAACACAGACACACCCAAAAGAATAAACAGATCCGGGGGTGCCATTAATCTTAAACTTTATCTCTGTTGCCAGTGCTTTTGGCAGTTACAAAGTATAGGATTTAAACTAATCACTTTGGTGATGTTGAAGACTTGCTTTAGTTAGCAATCAACTTTCACACTGTAATCCTACTTAAGCAATTAATGAATTCTTCTAGTCTCTGGATCTGTTCCTTCAGCTCCATGAAAGCTTAATTTCTTAGACTCCCACCAGTCTAGGTTCCCAGTTTCCCTCTTAAAAAAATCTTAAAATGAAATTTCCTTTGGCATTTATGCCTAAACCTGTTTAGCTGAACTCAGTGCTACTTGCTTATTGGATTAGTAGACTCTGCTATTTACTCAGGTTTTAGATTTAATTTGATATGTCTTTCCCCTTGTACTAACATAAGGAAGGTTAGGGTTAGAACATGCACAAAAATGGTTATAAAAAGTGATGCCATATGCCCAGATTACCATAATTTGGAATGTCTCAATTTACCACAACAAACATGAGTCTCTGAGTCTTACACAAAATTTGGTGTGAGGGCAAAAGCTTTATTTCACACCAAGCATTGAGAGAAACATGATGCCCTTTTATTTTAAAATCAAATAACAGGTGTAGAAAGCCCAAAGATCAAGATTCAGGAGATGGTGGTCACAGTTGTGAATCCTATCAATGTTACGTCTCCATGGTGTAATTGGTGCAGGCTGTCAGTATGCAGAGGCAAACTATGTATGAATACTAATGCTCTTCTGGGGCTTCAACTTAAGCAATGAGTGGAATGGGCTTTTCTAAGAATAGCTTTTCAATCCAGAATTCTCCAGGGTGTGCATTTGTTTTCTCGTTAATATACCGTCTTGCCTGATGCTCAGATATGCCTAGAAGAACAGTGCTATGATCACAGCAGATGATGTCTTACCAGAACATTTAGGAGACCTTACGATTTTAACCTTAGAAACATCCTGGATTAAAAAAAAATCCAATACAAAAGCTCTCACTCTATTCCCTTTACTACCTCCCCTAATTATTACAGCCTAGTTGTTGTTACTTTACAATGGCAAATTTACAATGTCATTGCCTCAAGAGGATGAGGTACACAATTAAAGAGAAAAGAAGTGGGTCAATCCTTAACAATGTAAAGGTTTTATAGAATGAGACTATCAGCAATTTAAAGCAAAACAGTTGATCCTTTTTGAAGTGCAAAATCTTTTATATACCAAAAAAAAACATTTAAGCTTTTTTGACAAGGTTTTAAGTGAAATGACTCTCTCCTTTATCCACAAATCTCAACACTTGCTGCCATTACAAGACTTTCCTGCTCACCTGCCCTTTTGATTCCTGTGTGCTTACAGCCAGGGGATCACTGCAAGCATCTATCTGAATTGTTTCTGAACTCGCAAGACACTCCACGTCATATCGTGCAGGAGAAGTGAATTGAAGACATGCTCCTGAGCCGAAGTAACTAGCGATGCAGAGAGCCCTTTACTGCATTCCAAGTATTAAACCTTCAAAACCCACTGTGTCCCTTGGAGGGAATTCACAGAATAATGCTGCCAATCTTCTGCCCAGCAAAGCAGAAAGATCTTCATGACATTCAAGACTTCATACAGGCCTTGGAAGAACAGTTATGTATCAGTTTAAGTAGAAATATTCATCACTTGAGATACAAGCAGTCATGCTTGAGCTAATTTAACACAGACAAGCTGTATTTAAAAGGATCTTGCTGGGATAAATATAAAAATCAAAATGATGTATAACACTTACAGGTCATGCAGATGGAAATTAATTTTTAATTCTAGAAACGGCACCTTATTTCCACTTAAGCAACTCTAGAAACCCTTGTGAATTATGATAATATAATTAAACAATTAATCAAATACAATGAAACCTCTAATGCATAAAGCAGGTTACCTCATTACAAAGCTAAAAGAGGGCATCTACCAAGACAGAGTTTTTGGTTAAGTTTTCTTGAGATATAATTTATGACAGTACATTACTTTCAGGAATAAAACAAGAATGAAACAAAGGAGAAGGTATCCAGAACAGCAGGTGCTCAGTCTACTTCATCTACTTGCAATGTACACCATTTTTATTATTGTTTTCTTCACTGTGGAAAAAAAGGAATGTGACAAGTTTTCCTTGGATTAAACCTGGCACAAAATGGTGCCAAGACTACAAATTAAGTGAAGAAAGCAAATTAGATATTTTTACAAAAATATAAGATTTGCATGATTATGTACATTCATTATTTTTGGTGTCATACTGCATGGCTTTGCAGAACAACTGTAGCAAAAAGGAAATTGTGATAAAGAACTTACTCAATGCCAAGCATAAGTAAATACTTAATATTATATACTTTTTAATAAAAGTCAGTATTTAAGAGGCATGTAGAAGCATGTATTGACATTTAGACTACACATTGTTTATTCTGTATTGTGGAAAAGGAATGATTAGATGAGGAGCTTAAAGATTAAAGGTGAGGTTCTATAACAATCGCAGGTTCTATAAGAATGGTCCAGAAAATAATAACAGCTTCTACTCGATGCAAACTGTTCAGGAAATATTCTTAAATGCAAATTTCCCTGACATCAGAATACTTTTATGACAGTCAAAGTATTAAAAAATCCATCATTTTAATATAGTTAAAAATAATTTGGCTTCTTAATCTATTTAATAATGTATCTCTAAAATTATTCTGTCATCTCTGAAAGCAACAGAGTGAGTTGCATTAAACATATTAACTGCTCTGACCTGTGAACAGCACTGTTCTGCCACTTCAAACAGTTTTGAACATCTCTTAAAAGCCATGCACTCAGTACTGTTCAAATTATATTTAACAAAGAGGTTATGCAGTATGGTGTGTTTTATGTGGGGTTTGACAGTGTGACTGCCTCTCTTGGATCTGTAAATGTGTGCATGCATGTCAGTGATTGTTTCTGTCACCAGTACACATTTCAGTCCAAAGGCTCATTATCTGTGAGTCATTACCATAAATGATTTGAATCACATAACAAAAAAGTAAAAAAAAACATAACGTAGATGACCTACACCCTTGAAGTGGAACATGCAGAATTTGGGCTCATACAGGCATTGGAATACTTGAATGGATTAAGGGGAATGACCAGCTCTTGAACTGGACTGATAGGCAGCGACTCCAGAATCATCACCTTCCTAAAAATGTGTGTTTTGAAATTGTGTTTGTTCCTCATTTATAATGTAAAATCATTCTCATTGCAATTGTTTTGTTTTTGGCCGCTGCTGAAGCTAATATGTAGGTGGGAATTAAACAATCATCCTCTTTTTGTCCTCTTTTTAAAAACGCTCTAGCCACGCTGTTGGTTTCCAATGATAACCTCGGAGTGGGTGGTAACATAATTATCAGAAAAATAGGATAAAAGAAAGTGTCAATTAATCCCCGCACACTGCAATCCTGATAGGGGTTTTTCCCTTCTAAACAGAGAGATGATTCACCTGTGAAAACCTCATTGCAGACACTGTACGCTCTCAATATTTGTTTACTGTAGCACTTCAGTCAGAATGCCTCATCTCCTGTACATTGGAAATCTTAGCACTGCTCTAATAACAAGCATTGAACAACTCTTTTCTTACCTGATGCATTCTTGAGGTATCCATTTGCATCTACAGATGTGTACATGACATACGGACCAGGTTGATTGACACCAAAGGGCTGTGATAAAAACACAAGCAACAGGCAATATAATCAGCCATGTCAGAACAAGGTACTTTTTTTAAGGAGATCTTTCATTCTATAGTATTTAGACTATGACTGACCTTAACTTTTTTCTGCAGAGTTTACTTGAATATATTTTGTACTGGAAAAGTAGGGACTAGGTAGAATTTATTGTATTATACTGAAAAGACAAACAACTGCACTTGTAATAATCAGCTAAGAATCACGTCTGTACTTTTCCCTTCAGATATGTTACAAGTTCTACATTATTCTTTGAGATCTGCCCTTGAACGTGTTATTGGAATTTTTTGTGAGCTCTGTGAACTAAGCTTGTATTGTTCCACTTAGTTGATATTATTACCCATTTTTGCTATCGACTTTGCAGTCTTTGTATTCTAAGTTGCTTTTTAACAAATGTCCTTGGAAACTATCTGAATCTCTGCTGAACTGGAACATTCTCTGATGCTGCCTTGAGACAGAAAACATGAAAAGAATGAGCATGGTTTCCTAAGTGACTGCATATATGCAGACCTACGTTCAGGGTGCCAAGTCTATGGACTCTATAAAGTATATAAACTTAATATGTTGCTTTTATATAGTGAGAATTTCTGAGTACATAACTGAGTTGTAATCTCTGCAGGCTGAGCTGGTGGAGTGAAAACCAGTATATCACTGATTCTCCCAGTGATCAAGAAATAAAGAAGCAAAGTTAACTTTAGGGTCATGAGCAAAAAAAAAAAGCAAATTTGCGTCAAAAACAGGATGCAGGGACAGGACAGAGGCCAGGAAGTGAATTTCCTATGATTTCAGACATCAGAGACAAGACATTTAGTTTTACCACTCTTATACAGATGGGCCTGGTGTTGAACAAGTTACCGGGACTGCAGGGGTAAAAGAACAAGGGAGGGCACAGTGAACAGCATGCAGCTGATAGAACTTCAATACAAGGGTAACCTGTCGCCTGTGAGATTGAACGAGATTCAATACAAACATACCATGTTGCCTCTGAGACTGAATGTGATGTTGACAACTAAAAGCTCAATACAAATGATAAGCAGCCACTGGGATTGAGCAGTATGTTAAGTATGCATAAGTGTGTCTTTCCGGTGGGACTGTCTTATTATCAGGATGAACAAAACCAGGGAGCTGCTGTAATAAGGAGATGCAGAAACATTTTAAGTTAGAGCAAAAGATACATATTACTACCGTTATAGAAGACAACAGACAAGTTGCTGATTTTCTTATTACAGAAATATAGTAAGACTAAAGAGAAGATGATGAAAGCTGGATGAAATCCAGACTGGGACCCTTGCCAGCAAAAAGATTGGTGAGAGAAAGAAACAAAGATAAAAAGGAAAAAGGAATAACTGCTGTGCTATGCTCACAAACATCTGTGCAGTTCAGCTAATAAACAAGTTAAAGCGCTGAAAGAGGGCAACAAACAGCTTGAACTGATGCTGAGGGAGAAAACAAGCAGAGAAAATGAGAAAATAGAGAAAAACTAGAAAGCTTAAAGAAGGACCTCTCCTCTGCAGATTAATGAAGAAAACTGAGAAGACTAGTCAAGCTTTTGTGAGAATTACAGGTACAATGGAACCCTAACATAGCAAGTAGCAAGTGAGAAATAGACTGTGATGATTTAGATGAGAAGGTCTGGCAGCGCAACTGTAAACGATACTGGAATCTTTCACCTCCATGTAGCTCTGACAGAAGCGATACCAAAGGCAGGGGGAATAAGGCAGAGAGAGGTTCAGGGGAAAGGAGGGAAAATGCAGATGACACTTTCAAATACACCCAGAATTAAATTAACATACAGAGTTAGGGGATAAGATGGAAGATATGATTAAATTACTGTAAATGCAAGGCATTCAAAGGATCTGCATGAGCTTGTGCAAGTCTCATTTCCAGAAATAGCTGGGGAAGTGCAGTAGTATATCAGAGATTGGGGACTGGACCAGCGGCCTACTATTTAACATCCCCCAGACAATGGAAGAAATAAAAGTGTCTGAGTGTATATCCTTAGGAGCAGTACAAGGCAACCAGGGAACCATTATCAGTATAGTGAAAAGCCAGGGAAAACCCATTAAACCACTACCTATAAGTAGCAATCAGGTCTATATTACACAGGCAGAAAGAATCAGTTCTTTCTTGAAATGTTGAAAGAATCAAACAACATCAAGAAATATTGGAGATAGGAATTCCAGTTAACAAAATCTATGGAAAAGTAATATGATGCACTACAAATATAAATCATCAAAGTAGGTAGCCATTAGATAGGCAGCCATTATATATACAGAGGGAGCAAAGGGACAAACATGTTTCAGGTGTGATCAGCCAGGCCACACTGGCCTTAGATGTAACAAAGGATCTGGCTCAAGAAAACCTGCTCTGATTGTGGGAGACTGGGGAGAGGTGTATGATCCAGAGAAGGCAGAACGCCAGGGGATAAAGAAAAAGGCCACCGCATGCGACCACCCTCTGGGTTGACTATGGCCAAGCTGCTTCAGTTGGTCAATGATCTTTCAAAAACAGACAAAGAGGAAGCATCAATCTCCTTCCTTGGTTCACATGACCCTTAAATGTACTAGAGACAGCAATATTAGGAGGCCAGCAATGCAAAACATTAACTGACAGAGAAATGTCTTTTAACTAATTTCCCCCTACGCATGACAAAAAAGGATATCAATATCATAGGTGTGGGCAGCAGTATGAAGCTAGAACATTCTTAAATCCTTAAATCCCTAAAAACAACAACAGAATGGACGTGGTCCTGGTCCTAACTCGTCTTAAACTTACTCATAGACTATGGCGTAAGTACAGAAATATCTTCCTTCTTTTAACTTATTTGATTAACATGCTTCCTAAACAACAAAAAAGGTGCACAGTCTATGAACAGTGAATGTTACATGCAAACATACAAGCAAAGGTTTACCGAACACAAACTTAGGATGCAAAACTTATTTATTTATATAACTTCACCCTGTACCGAAAAAAGCTCCTACGGTATTTAAGATAAACTCATTAATAGTGATATAAATTTGCATTCATGTATAACCTTGCAGAATATTATTCAGACGTACTGTCCTTTCAACTGCAATAAATAATGAAGAGTTTAATAAACAGTCTATAGAAAGTCAGTGTTTACAATGACTATCTGCCATCATTTATGTGCAATTTTTGAGAAACTATAAAATATATATAATTATTACGAGATATAAAAATACATCATAGTTATGGATTAAAATAAAATTATTACTATAATGGTAAGCAGAGTTCTACAGTCAAACAAAATTTCAGCAGCTATTCAAAGCCAGTCAGGTCTCGTAATTTTTACCTACATAAAGCTGTGCGCTAAAACTTGCTTTCCTCACTGTTCACAAATGTTATCGTAGGGAAATTGCCTTGTTTTATTCTTTTTTCATCAAAATGTGTAAGAGCTAGTTTAATTTTCATATCTATACAAAAATCTACAAGGCTACAGGACCTAAAATTAAAAACATTTAACACTTTTTAATTCTTCCACAGAAGTTGTGTGGATAAATGCAGTCTTGCCAGAAGGGCTGGTTCAACACTTAAAAGTACCAGAAGTTGCCCAAAGTAACCAAGCTGATACATCTGAAAAACTAGCAGAAGCACTGGGAGAAAAAAACTAAACTGTTCTTGAAGCAGAAAAATTCTATTGCAGCTGAACCAAAGATTTAGCCTATATATATACAGTATATTATTTCCTGGCATTTGTGTCAATATAAAGTGAGGTTGAATTTCCTGTAGGAGCCAAGTCATTTCAATTCAGAGTAGTCTCTGAGTTACAGCATGCATTTTAGAGCTGTTTAAAGATTGCAGTAATGCCTCTGACAGACTGTGATACCTTTTCATTAAAGCTGCAAAAACAGTGGCTTTCAAGACAAATACCTCTCTTTATCATGTGTCAGCTCTAATGAAGAGACATTCTGCCCTTCATGACTAGTCTATAATTCTATTGCTTGAATGTCTTTTTCGGAGGATACTGTGGAGATCTCAGAAAGATGCTGGCAAAGGCAAAATTCAGACACTTGTTTGTAGGATAATGAAGAAAAAGATTTTGATAGATTGTAGAAAAAAAAAGAACTACGCATATAATGTAACAAATGCAATTAAAGAATATGGTAGGATTTGTCCAGTAGAACACTACTGAAATTGGTTCAATGTAAGAATTATGCATTGTTTATTAAAAAAAAAAAACATTCCTGCTGGCAAGCATTTATGCAGTCTCTAAAAACAAGACTCTTAAATGTGCTAATTGTAGTTTATTTTGGGCTATGCTATCTATTAGTAGGTATACTATCCTATGTGAATGATAAAACCTAATTTCCAGGAGGTGCTTGATGTCTGAATTGTAACAAGTCTGTAAAATTATCGGACAAGAGACAATACAACAGCAGAGGAAACTAAGAGATCAAGTTGAATGCCCAGCAAAGAATTGTGTTAGTGCCACTTAGCTGGGTGTGTAGCTCAGCAACAAACAGAAACCTAAACCGACGTGTGAGGATTGTAATACAAGAAAAGAAAGAGCACTGCACAAAAAAGACAAATTATGTTTTTGAAAAAGGACACTGGGATGTTGGATGTCCCACGAATCAATCATTTTGCATGCCACAGCTTGATGCTTGAGGAGAATGTGAACAGATATTGTGGAAACAAGTAAATATGTTTTTGATCCCATTAGCTATGGGCAAAAGGTGAAAAGTGAATTGACTTTATTATTCGGACAACTGTATTCTAAACAGAATACAGTAAACAAGTCAGATTCAGTAAACTATCTTTCTGTTAATCTGTTGAACTCTGGCAATCTGGGGTATTCTGATATTTTTTAATATCTTTTGATTTAATGTGTTCAAAAGCAGTCACAATAGTTCCTTTCTAACTTCAAAGTTGCTAACTGAAATGATACATTTTTACGACATTTTCACAGGCACAAATCAGACAAATTGGGCAGCCAGTTGAACACAATTCCATTTAAAAACACATATGAAAATGAACTCCATTACTGCCAGTCACAGCTAGCTGCCTAGCACTCACCTGACTGTGCAATCAGATCTAAAAATCTTCTCATGATTCTATGAGTGTACTGGGTACTGCAGATACCTTAATGGTTTACTTTTCTAGCAGCGTGACAAAGCCATCTGCAGTTTCCTGCTTTCTGTTAACAGATGGACAAATGAGAAAATATGTAAGTGAGACTTACTGTGACTTTCCTTGGGCAGTCACTGGAACAAAGTCCACTGAGCACTGAAACAAGAAAAAGTAAAAATGATCATTTGTTTTACTATCAATTAGAATAAATACATAAAAACCTTTTTATTACACAGTATGAGCCTAATAATGTCTTGCAAAATCTAATTCTCATGCTTTTAGCCTGTCTGAGATGGAGAATCAAAAAGGCTAATTTAAAATTATGCAATACATAACAGATACTTGAGAAAAAAAGTAAAGCACTTGCATTAATAACCCATGAAACTTGGTTGCTTTACAGCAACAAAAACAGCTAAATATCTTTCCTGCTAAGAATGCTTCAGGTTAAAGGAAAGTACAGTCAAGAACATTTAAGGATATATTATGTTTGTTAAATGTATAAAAATATAATTCTAAATAATGATTTTATTATATAGTATAACAACTATAACTATAGTTTTGCGATACATTCGTCAGGAATTAACAATGCCATATTGTCGTTTAACCAGACTCCAGCGATCAACGGGGTATTTTATTGTATTAACCATTTTAACTATATTAATGAGTGCTAAATAATGGGAACATGAGAAATCATATCACAAATTTGACAACCTTATCAACAATATTACTCAGGAAAGAAAGCTTCTTAAAAATAAAATCCTACAAGCCTCCACACCTTTGCAAAAAAAAACTGTTATCTTACTAAGTCAAGTGAAACCCCATCAGAGATTACAAATTACTGAAGTAAAGGAATATTTTTCACATGGTATTAAACTAGTCATGTCCTTGCTTTCATAATATCACTGAATTTTTTGACTAAAGTCTAAATTTGTTGCTGACCCATAGGCTACTCCTGTTGAGAGTCAGAGAGGCCAGCTGCTCATGATGGGAGCTCTCTGCAGAGATGTGACCTGTCAGTGCCACATTGTGGATAGCTGTTCCAATTAATCCTTCACCTTCCAACTACACCTCCTATGACCAGCACTCTGGAGAAAGCAAACCAGCACCAACACAGCTCAATCAATCTGTGATGTCTTCAGTATTTTCACTCTACAATACACTAAAGTGAATTTAAAGGTAACAGAAGTGAGCAGAAATAAGAACTGTCAGCACCAAAAGCACTGAGATACTCAGTTTGTATTTTTGCTGTTGAATTTTTGCTGTTGAATTTCTGTTTTCATGAGAAAGCTTATTTCAAAAAAGGCTTCCAGCCAGAGGGGCAGTGAAAAGACAAAAAAAAATAGAGAATGAGGTGAATGAGGTGACATCATAATCAAAATTGATTTTTGACCAAACAGCAGATTAAGAAAGATAACTGAATGCACATCTTTCAAATTTGTATATACTGCATGTAATGACATTTTAGGAGTTTATACATTTAAAATGTAAATTGAATTCTAGTGATATTCACGTATGTAACAGTCGAAGCAAACTAAAACCTAACTCAATTTCCTTCTGCATTATGCATATCCAAGAGCATGCGAATTGAAGAAATCATACATCTTTAATCAGTAATAGGAGGAATTAGTATTAGCATACTGATTGGCTTCTGTGGACCTGACTATTGATGTTTCACTGATGAATAAAACTTTAATTAGGATTTCAAAAGCATATGTGTATGTTCTGATAATATCTGTAATAAAAACAACCACACAAAGCAAGCAAAAATCTCCAGTTACCAAAGTTTTGCGGCTAATCAACAAACGACGTATTTTGGCAAAGAAACTACAAGACAGACAGAAAGACAGAAACTAAAAAAAACAGGTACAGTAAACAAACACATAGGGATTGACTGGCATATACACAGTGAGACAGACACATAAAGTGAAGCTTAAAGGTTGATGAACCTTATTCTACACGGAATTTTATACTCAATATTTGCCATGCTTCACATAAACCACCCTCCTAAATTTACTCTTTTAAGATACTTCAAGGAAATTAATGTGAATGCTGCTAATGAAAATGGAGCCACTAATGGAGAAGGGAAACCAGCAGATGTTACAGTGATAGAATCGTTAGCTAAAAATTGAAGTCAGTTAATAAATCTTTGAAACAGTCCTAGAACATTAGTCTTGACAAAGTACTATGTGAAAAAAGCCACCAAATATGAGAATCTGTTCTTGGTTCATGAAAAAGTACTTCACAAAAGGTTAACCAGACTATGACCTGAATGACATTACCCACTAATGATTCAGTCTGCGACAGTTATGTTTATGTTGTGGATTTTGTATGGACAGTATAATATCATTTAAACCAATTTTATTTTAAATTGGTTGTTAATAAAACACATTTAAACAATCACCATGCTGTAATTAAAAAACACAGCCAAAAGATCACTAGTACTAGTTCCAGTGAAATACCACACTTTGTTATTCAGATGTAACTCAATGCTATCAAAACAAAGTGAACAGTGGCTCTTTTTAAAAACATGGTGCATCATTATTTAAGTGAATGACTGAAAGTCTTTGAAGAAACATTAATACAATATTTATGACAGCTGTTCAGTGTGGAATTCATATTCTTTAAGTATAAACCAAAACCTTTTCTGTTTTTTATTCATTAACTGAGAGACAATCTGACTGAGCTAATGATGGATCAAGAATTCAAATTAACCTTTTACAGTTACATATTTTACATGAGGTATACACAACTGCATTCGGTCAAAAGGAGATACAGATACGAATCACCTGTAATGAAAATATGTGGCTGTGGCTAAATATTGAAATACCAAAGCCTGGACTTCAAAAGGCTGATCTCACTGAACCTTATAACAGTGCAGAATGCAGCTACATTTCTAAAGACAAATGATCAGCAGTAATCAAATGCAGAACCAGACATATAAATGAGATAAATTACTTAAACATTGAAGTCATCTGTTTGTGCCAATTAGTCATACAGAAATCCAGGTTTCCTATGAGACCAGCAGAACCCCATTGTGGTCATATCCAGTGTTCTAATATCTATACTCTGACAATGTCTGTTTTGATTCTTTCTTTTTAGTTTAAACTATTATCTATTTCAACAAAGCTCAAATAGAGAGTTCTGAATTCCATCAATGTTTCATTGCTGTGCTTGCAGCAAACTTAGCCCCTGAGCTCTCCTACAAGTATGTACTGTAAAAGCTTTTGGAGCCATAACATAGCATTATCAGTCATTAAATTTTCTCTGCAGTCATACAATTGCACATCTGAATTCTGCCTAGCCGAGAGGCAGCTGAAGCGAGCCGTTTTTCATTTTGCGTACGAAGATAAGGGAAAATGTTAAAACTGATGGCAATTTCAGAAAGTAGAATATGCAAAAATGAGCCAATGTATCAAACAGACATTTGGAGTGTATTGTTGCCAAAACAAGAATTAAAAGAAAATAATTTCACAAGTTCCTGAATGCATCTTTCAGTTTCTCAAAAAAGACTATTAGATCTGGAGGAGGGGTGCACAAATATGCACAGTCTTTAATAATCTCTACACAGAGATTAAAAATGTAATTTAATGGATGATTCTTTTTTTCCAGCTCAACTACTCATGAAGGACTGCTCAATCTTTGATTCACGTAAATGACAGATGACAAATAATTTAGATAGCATGTTAGCTCTACGATTACCGTTATTAAAAAATGTCATGCCAATGTTTTAAGATCGCTATACACTTGTAAACCAGACCACGGTGCATTCCAAGTACTAAGTCACTCTCTTGAAGGCAGTGAACTGAGACCTCACATTGAGTTATAGACAGTGGTAAGTTAAGACTGCCTGCCAAGCCATTTCTCAAAATATTGTCAACAGAGTAGTGCGAATGCATTTGTGGTCCATTTCATACCACAGATATTATGATAAAAACCCTGGCTTAGTAAAGAGGAGTCAATGATCATAACATATCTACCATATTTACCTTGCAATTCACTACAAACTTAAATGTATTTGTGTGTTTTTCTAGGGTAACTGTTTCATTAATCCATATGCAGAATGAAATGCATGTTGTGAGACTAACTTCAAGCTGGGGTGGGGGGTCATGGCTGAATTCTAGAAAATAAGTATTCTTCAGGCCAGATGTCACAAAGATAACATCTTCATACCGCACTGGACCAGCCTGTATAAATCAATGAAGTAAAAAGGCAGCTTATGGTGGATTGATACTGTCACTGCTTACTGCTTTCTAGAATGTGTTCATCTAAAGGATTCATGGTGTTATGCACACACACATATCATTACAATAAAGTACAATAAACTGTCTCCAACAAAACATATTTCCAAGTCCTTCTGAACTGTTATTTTTAGTTGTTTCCTTCTCAACAATTCAAAGAAAATTCAAATATTGATTTGTCTTGCATGTAGTGTAGAAATGCTCACTATTCCTGCAAAAACGTCCTGTTCAAATAATTTCAAACACCTAACAAGAAGATATTTACTCACCCACAAGTGATTGTTTGATGTTCAAACAAAATAATTGAAAAATTAACAGTACACAGGTTGCTGTGTGAAGGTGAAGAAGATTGTGTACTTTGAAATCCTTAAACAATTACACAGTAGAAAAACTGACTTTGTTTATAACTTACATATTAACCTAATCTACAACTGAGAGGGAAGCTATATATGCAATTTTCACATTAACTTGATGTTACTTATAAGAAACACAAAAGTCTGATTAATCGAATTATTAGTTTATAATAGGAGTCAAACATCTGCAAGAGGAGCTGGATTTAAAATCAGTAGACTACGAGCCAACCTGGTTGAGAACTGGAAAGCCATGTTTTCGATATATAAAAGGTTCAGTTTATTAAGACTACCTCAGGATTTAAGATAAGGAGTTCTGAAGATGGCAATGGCAATACAATTAAATAAAGAGTTTATTTTAAAGATACCTACACCCCACAAGGGAAAGTCCAAGAACGGAAAGTGCGGCGAGAGATGGGCTATAGAATCGCAGAGAGTCGGATCCGACTGACTGGATAACATCATCATCACACCCCACAAGAGCCTTAAACATCTTGCTTTTATTCTTTCCCTTTACTGAAGCCAGTTCCTGTGCTTCAAAATATTAAAATAGGTGAAAGAATTGGCA